CTCGCGCCCCGCCCGACGCTGAGGTGAGGCTGCGCGCATGCGCGGGCGTTAGAGCCGTCCACCCTCTCCATTAAGGGCCAGGCTGGTTTGCCGCGCATTAGCGCGAACGGCAGGACCGAGCTGTGGGGCTAACGCGTGTCAGCACTGGGAGCCTCTCTGGTGGCGCCGCCGTTAGCAAACGCTCCTAGGTGTAGTCAGGGTGAGGGCTGGCTGGTGTACTTGGGAGAGGCACTTTTCCATGCGCTAGTTACCAGTGACTTGTTTTCTTGTTGAAAGTAAGCAACTACTGACTGCTTCAGTTGCTTTTCTGGGTGTAGAGTGGTGTTAAGGACCTTGAAATACTGGACGTGTTTAAAACAATCTTTCAAAGGGGCATGGATGCAACTGCCAGCTTCTGTTGTACTTTTGTAGTCTAACTTGCATATGCTTGTACAGCTTGTGAGGATTTAAAAAAAAAAAAAAGGTTTTTTTGTTATGATGTTTTCCAAGCTTTAAAAAATAAATAGATATAAACCAGTAAACACAGAAAGTAGACCAGAATAAAGACAGCAAACGGTATTGTTGGGTGTATCTCGTTTGTCTTCAGATGTCTTCATCACCAGATTAAATCCCTTGGCTCAAAGCCACTGAATGAATGATTCTTATTCATTTGGAAATGCATTGGGCTATTCAGGCACTCTGTACTGAAGTTACTGAATCATTCCAGACCGTTCTGAACACAGACCAACTCCAAGCAAGTATGGCAAACACATTTCTATCAAAATCAAATAGTTTGTTCATTGTCTTCTGTTCCATGTCTCTTTGTCAGGCACTTCATCCCAGAAACTCAGTCTATTCATTGTGTTCTGTGACTTCTGGCTAACATACACGCTATTTGGCAGTCCAAGCAGTGGCTGCGTGTAGCAGGATGCACTATTTTATTGACATCCTTTGCACTGGTATGTGCTGTACAAACAGGGATGCTTTTTCACAAAGTTTTTGCCCAGCAGCGTTAGTATTCTTGTCAGTGTGACTGCATAAAATAAATACACCGGATAAACCTTTTGTACCAAGCGTGTAGCATTAAACACGCAATGTGTTTTGCCATGATTGCTGTGCTGTATTTGTATAAACTGCTTATATTTTGTGGGAAGCCTGGGTGGCAAAATTGGGTTAATTTCACAGGTAGCGTTGGGGACTTTGGTTCCTCTCTCTACTTAAATGTGTGTTCTCGCTTTGAGTATTGTATCCCATTCAAATCTCCTATATAAAAATGTAATACAGATTTATAAAAGATTAGGAGCTCAATCGAGTGTCAAGTGCTCCTGAGATGCGCCCAGCCTGACCTTTACTGTAACACACGTCCCTGTGACACGAGCAGGTTTGCCCTCCCTCTCTACTGTGCTCTTCAACATTTTATTTAGTACCTAAGTTTCACAAGGTTGGTCCTGGAGCTCAGGAGAGTCTCTGACCAGCACAGCCAAGCTGGCCTGGCCTCCCTCCACACTTGTCTCTTGCTTGTTGCAAGATCACTGGAAACTCGCCAACTTTACAGGTGCAAATCACTCTCAGGCACGTTGGGCAGTTTTCACAACAAGCCCAGATAAAAATAGTGGTATTTTTCCAATGCCGAGGGCATCGTGGCCAGAGCTGGAATGGCAGTGTGGCTTTGTGGCTTGTGGCAGGTGGTGACTTGGCTCCTGTCTGTGCCTTAACCTAAAGCAGCTGCAGTGCCTCAAACTCATGAAACTTGGCTCCTCAAACCCTGAAATAGTCACCGAATATACCTCAATCTTCCAAACCCTTGCAAATTGTTTCCTTACAGTGAAAGGGCTGTCATTTAAGTAGTATTTTTCTATTTTCATGGTTCTGCTTAAAGTAGCAGAAGCTCTGGTTTCTGCAGCGGGGCCCATTTCACTAACTGCTCGCTCTCGGGGCTGGCAGAGCTGTTTGTAAGCGGTCAAAATAACGATTTTTTTTTTTTGGTCAGATCCACGGCACGGCTGTGACCCGCAGAGCGCGGGGCCCCGCGGGCGCCGCTGGGTGACCTTAACGCGGAAACGGCCTCCCGCGGGCGGGGCTGCAGCGCGACACTGCCGGCCTTACGGCGCTGCCGTAAAGGAGCGCGCCGCGCGGAGCGGTGCCCTTGGCGGCCATGGGCGGCAATGGCGCCAACAAGGCCTTGGAGCTGCTGCGCTCGCTGCCCAGGGTCACCCTGGCCAACCTGAGGCCCAGCGAGGGCTCCAAGAAGCAGGTGAGTGTGCGCAGCGCGCGGGGTGCTCCCCAGCGCTAGCCCGGCCTCCCGCGCCTTGCGAGCGACACGCCCGGCCCGCTGGTGCCGACCGCTGGTCTCGCGGGCACGGGCAAACGGTGGGAGGCCGGGCGCAATCTCCGTAGGTGACTTCGGGAGCGGTTCTGTGATTTTTTTTCTTTTTTCTTTTTCTTTTTTCTTTTTTTTTCCTTTTTTTTTCTTTTTTTTTCTTCTTTTTAAGTGTTGCCACATTTTTCTCAGTGATTAACCAAGTCTTTAAATAAGCAAACTTAAGAGTACCTGACTGTACAAAAATAAGTTGCTAAAGGCATCCACCTTTTTAGGTTGGCTCCACTGACCACTTAAAATCCTGTCAGTGTTACCAAATACACTCTATTTATGGCCAAATATTGTCCACATCCTTGTACTGACTAAAGCCCTCAGGCAGCTGCCAAAAGGGGGTCCAGCTGTGCCTGCAGTTGCCCCCTTCCTCTGCGTGTTTTGTGCTAGTTGCTGCATGCCGAGTCCTTATAGGGTAGTAAATCAGCTGAAAACTAATCAGACAAAAATTAGTTTTTAGCGGTGTAGTTGCCTGATCTGTCCTGTGCAAAGCCACACAACTGTGCCGAAGAAACACTGGGAATAAAGAAACATAGTGTGGGAGCGAGGGAGAAGGTGTTTTTTTTCAGTGGTAGGGATAGTTCAAGCCACTTCGCTTGAACTCTGTACTAATTGGCCTTAATATAGGTAAACTGAGCATCTGAGGTCAAATTATATGTTTCAACCATATTAATGCATTTTTTTTCTGATGTATATCTGAACAGACCGTCATACAGTGCACAGTAAGGGCTCCCTGACTTCGGGAGACTGATACAGTAACAAGGGTAACACATGATATTTTGTCTTGGCAGTGTTGCCCATCAGGGCCATCAAGATATTACTAAGTACCGTGATGTTCTGCTCCATTTTATATCTCCGTTTTATTAAATATTCTGTGCAGCAGTATAACCAAATAGAGTGATTTGCAGAATTAGGGCTGCCCAAAGTTTGTTCTTCTGAAAGTTGAATGTGGAGAAACTGTAGTCGCTTTAATAAAAACTTATTTGAATTATTAGTGCTGCGGCAGTGACTATGTTGTGACTTAGCCTGCACTAGGTGATAAGCACTAGGAGGACTGTTCAAAGTATGTTGTGTTGCCTGATTCCCGATGTGACTGACTCAAGTTGAGGAACAGAATGGAAGGCAGCAAATGTGTAAACTGCTGTGCAGCTATAAAACCAATTAGCCACCAACGTTGTCCCTTTCACGTATACTCAGATTCTTGTAAATATCAGCTTAAATGGCAAAAACTTGGTGGAACCAAATGGACTATCAGGCCTATGAGAAGCAAGATTGGGTGTGTGTGTAGCTGAGCGGTGAGCTGGGCCACGTGGGTTGGAGCAGGCAGGAGCTGGAAGCGTGTGGGTCTGTCTCATCCCTAGCAAAGGAGGAATCAAACAAGCCTTGATGCTGCAAAAGCTTCAGTAATTGAATAAAATCAGCTTGGCCTGTAGGTTTTTGATAGTTTAGGTCAAAGTGAACTGGCACTGCTTATTTATTTATTAATATCTGTCACTCCCAGCCACTCTTCCATTCTTGCTTCGCTGCCTCTTTGTGGTGGTATAGATATTCATCTTACCAAATGCTGCAATGCATTTTTTTAAAAAACATATATTAAAGTCTATCTACTCTGGCTTCGTTTTTTTGATCCGCTTCACCTTTCAGCCATGCAAGTGTTTCTGCTGGCACACGGTGGAGGTGGATGGGAGAGAGTTGTTAAACTGCTACTTATTACTCTCGTGCCAATTTAAAGTGTTCCTAAGACTAATAGCTTAATTTCACAGTCTTAATTTAAGCAGAGCCAAAAATTTGAAATGGAATCTGTTCTTCTGGTTTGTAGTCAGTAGAAACTACAATAGTTGCAATCATGATAGTTGCAAATTTTTGACAGCCTGAGCCCACCAAAAGAAGATTATATGCATTCATGACATGCATACACCCTCTACCCTGAAGTATAATTGAATTTTTTATTGCTAGTGTTAAGAAAATTCTTTCTTTCACCTTTGAACATCTTTCTGATGAAATAGGAACCATAAGTAATTAATTCAGGAAAATTAACTATTTTAGAGAGTAGACTATTCTTCCTGTCACAATACGTGTTCGTATTTTTGGTACCTTCCTCAAGTTGTGCGCTACAGAAATTGCAAAAATCGCATTAACTGATTTTTCTGGCTCTTTTTCCCTTTAGAAAAGAAGCTGGGTTTGAACTTCCAGTATCAGCACTCTTCTGATTCATTTTATATTCTGAAGTCTTACGTTTAACAGATAGCATGCGTAACGTAGTTGATGGAATGTGTCCTTGCTTTCTTTGAAGGAAAAGCGGCGAGGGCGTGGAAGATACGGAGGCAGAAAGTGTGGTCGGGGTCACAAAGGACAGCGGCAGAGAGGAAACCGCCCTCGCCTGGGCTTTGAGGGTGGTCAAACTCCCTTTTATTTGGTCATACCAAAATATGGGTTTAACGATGGACATAGGTAAGTTTCTTTGTACTCGCTCAGAAATGAAGCATTATCTGCTTTTGTCTGTCTCCTGAAGCTGGTAATCTGCCTAATTTCACAAAACAGGCCTGACTGAAAACAACAATATGCCCCTGCTCCTACAACTGGCTGCCTCTCCACTCAGAGCTGCTTCTCCATATGTGCCTGCTCTTTTTTTTTTTTTTTTTTGTCTTCACGAGGGTCACTCTATTGACCTAACTGGAAACAGTCCCACTGAACTCAGTGGATTCTGGTGAGGGTGTCAGGCATGCAAGTGTGATCCAAAGTCCATTTTGTTGTTTCTCTGTGCCCTCTTCACCTTAAGCTCTGACCTACTGCTATCCAAACATTTCTCTTTCTCCTTGTTTTATACTTTCTCCCATTTTCTACAAAAAAGTTTCTGTTTGCTCCGCCTTTTCCAGCTAGGATCTCATCAAGCTCTTTAATATCAAATCTATTGGGCCCTTGTTATTTCTTGTCCTGTTCTGACTTGTTTGCACTTCTTTATCTCTTCCGACCATTTAAACTTAAAGTGATTCTTCTAAAGTGTCTTTTCTTAAGTGTCTGCTCTCAGATTTGTATGCCTAGGTTGTTATCATTTCCTTCAGTATATTGACAGTTATAATATTCAGATTTTTTTTTTTTTAAAGTTATTTCTGTCTCTTAAGTCAGCATGTGACCTGGGTCACCAACCATTCTGTTGCTTTTAGGTATGGTCACAAAAACTGCTGTATCCATATACAAGTTACAGGTAGTGGTAACAGAATTTGCCCGTGTTATAGCTGTAAGATACTCTCTAGAGAAGTATCTTCAGTAAGATATTTCTAAGACCTAAGAGCTAACGTATTTCTTAGCTCTACATTTCTGTTATATATTGTACTTTACCAGAGAGTTCTAAACTAAAAGAATTAATGTATTCATAAATCATTATGCTTGCAGCTTGATTTCATGTTAATAATATGACCAGCAGATAGCTGTGTGTTGTATTTCCATTCATTATAGATGCAGTGTCAGTTATTTTTTCTGCAGATTTGCCATAGTTCAAATCACACTTCAAAACTAATTTCCAAATAGTAATACCCTCCTCTTCACTTAGCTTGTTGTAAAAGTGAATGAGCGGCCCTTTCCCGAGGTGCAGAGAGGGTGCAGGTCTGCAATCCAAGAAGGGAAGTGCTGCGGAGTGCACAGACTGAATTTCTTATGTTGACAATGGTCACAAGTTTCTTAACAACATTGAAAGCTTCTGCAGTGATAGAAAATTTAACCAAAAAAGAGTATGATATGTATTTTTTAAAAAATGCTGTTTACAAAATTCCAATGTCAGTTAACAGTAAATGGTTTTCTAGCTGGCATTGTACATTAACTTGAGAGACAATATTGTGGCAGGACAGCAGCATCCTGAGGTGGAGGGGACTTGAGCATTTCTCATATTTGAAGAGGCGCAGGGTGCTGGGCCTGCCTAGCCTCCTGAAGAGAAGTATTTCTGAGGGGGATCTTACCTGTGTACACATAAAGCTAGAGAGTGAATGGCAAGAGGATGGAGCCAGACTGTTTTCAGTGGTGGCCAGTGATAGAACAAGAGGAAATGGCCACAAGCTGAAGCACAGGTTTTTCCGTCTGAATTTGAGGAAAAACTCTTTACTGTGAGGATGACAGAGCCGTGGAACAGGCTGCCCAGAGGGGTTGTGGAGTCTTCTTCTCTGGAGATAACTCAAACCTTGCCTGGGCATGGTCCTGGGCAACGTGCTCTGGGTGACCCTGCTTGTGCAAGGGGTACTAGATGGATTTCCAAAGGTCTCTTCCAACTTGATCATTCTGTGATTCTGTGAACAGTGTCTTTACTTGCTTATCTTCATCTCATTGTTCTTTCTGCCTGCAGCAGTGTTTCTCTCAGCTTTTCCTACTAGGAGCTGTCTGATAGGGCTAATTTGGGTGCTTGCATTTTTCGTTGCCTGCAGCTTACCATTCACAGAGATCAGCTTATTTTCTGTTTTTCTGCTGTCACTCTCAAATTTTCAGTAGCTGCTGTTAGAAGATAATGTCAGGAGGTTTTGAGCACCAACATAAATGGTATGCAGTAGGTATAGATGCTAAAATTGAAAAACCGTGTTGAGTTGTTTAGTGAAGTTCGAGCTTTATAAAATGCTAAAGTAGATTTTGCTGAAGCTGATGCTATGGACAAAATATTCGTTTTTCCTTTGGGGTTATGGGATAATGCATAATTTCTGAAAGTTTCTCTCGCTTAATGGTATTTTGAGGATGATTCTATGTCATTTCTTTGAGATGTCGGGTACAGTGCTAACCCTCCTAAAAAAGTGTAGCTTGTTGGATAGAGACAAGCTTTGAAGGAACATGTATTGTCTATGGCTCATGTTCTTTGACTAAATCAGGGTGCAGTTGGCAGGGAGTGAGGAAGGGAATGTCACATTTTTGGGGAGGATGGCAAGAGGGAATGTCAAATTTTGAGGACATCACTGAAGCTGCAACTGAATTCCCTTTGGAGGTGGTAGTTGTTCAGAATCTTGCTGACTTGCCAAGAAATGTTGACACTTCATTTTCTTCATGTTTCCTTGCTTTTTAAAACAATTAGTTGGTAGAGAGGTGTTTTGGAGTAAACTGAACTCAGCAATAGGAAAATGACTAATGTAATAGTCCTCCCTCAAAAACAAAAGAAAAACTAAATTCATAATGACATCTTGGCCTCTAGCTAGAGCTTCTAAGTTTAATGCAAATCTATTTTGAAAAAAAATAGTTGTTGTCTTTAGGAAAAGGTAGCAAATGGAAAGTGCTGTATTCTACCTGCACAGTTCCTCTTGAAGCTTCAGTATTGTAATCTTCTCTTTTTTTTTTTTTTCTTTTTTCTTTTTTTCTCCAGCCTCAGACGTCAGTACCAACCACTCAGCCTTCAGAGGCTGCAGTACCTGATTGATTTGGGTAGAGTCGACCCCAAGCTACCGATTGACTTAACGCAGCTCATTAACGGCAGGGGTGTAACAGTGCAGCCTCTGAAAAGGGATTATGGTGTCCAGCTGGTGGAAGAAGTAAGCGTGCAAGAGAGGTTTATTATTTTAAGTAACATCAAACTTTGCGCTTTCAGGTGATGAATTCTTCTGTGCCACGCTGTTGTGTTTTTTTTTTTTTTTTTTGTAACTCCTCCTTTGTTTTGGAAACATTATCCCTTTTCTAAATTATTTGCTCTGGATTTCTGGTAAGGTTATATCCACTAGAGGGCACTGTGTGTTAGCTAGAAAATGAGACTGTTGTAGTTTTGGGGGACTCTTTACAAAAGTAATATTAAAGATGCACATGTAGAGTGGTTGTGCGAGTATTTTAGAACAAAGACTAGAATGTACTGAAGGAAATGTATGAAAATTTGGGAGCAAAAGTGCAAATATTTTAAAATTTGACCCATGTGACTGAATTTGGTGACCTTCTTGGTGCAGAAAGAAGGTAAATCATACTTTGCAGGGGCTAGTGTTTATTACAACTTTCGAGTGAAGAATAAGTGTATTCCTCAAAATGCTCATTTTAATATGTGTTGAAATTTACAGGGTGCTGATATCTTTTCAGCAAAAATTAACATTGAAGTACAAAGGGCATCTGAATTAGCTATTGCAGCCATTGAAAAAAATGGAGGTGTTGTCACAACGTCCTTCTATGATCCCCGGAGTTTGGGTAAGGATTCTTCATTTCTGTCTAAGAAAAACAAGACATGAGAAAATTAAATAATCTAAGGCAGAATTTCAAACATAGTTTGTTGTTGTTTTTTACTCTTCACTTCTTGATCCCTAGCAGTGTTAATGTTCATTGGCCAATAAGCTGGCTAGGACCATTCTTACATTATACATATTAGCTTGTTCTGTAAACAGAGAAATATAAAAAGGGTAGTTTATTTGAATTTCTCTTTCAACTATACCACCTGTTTTAATAAGTAGAAAAATTCAGGAAATAAATGTGTACTTAAAAAAACACTGTGGATATTTATATTTTTAATTTTAAAGGCTTTTCAAGTTGAAGTGAGGAAATCACTAATTTTTAGAAGCTCAGAAACATTCCAGTCAAAATGGCTATTGTTTTCAGAAAACTTTCACTGAAGAATGTGATTTGGCTTTGCTTTGCTTGAGGCTGCATCCTCACTAATACTCGTTTATTCCATTTATATTGACATTAATGGAGCTTTCATGTGTGAATGAAGTATAGGATGAGAGGGTGGACTCTTTTTAGTATGCAAAATATATTACCTTGAAATGATACAGTTGTTCTTTTTCTAAACCAGAAGAAAAAGTCCAAATACTGAAATTAAGTGGATCAAGAATATAGTTTGCCAAGGTGGTACAGTGTCGGGAAGAACCAGTCCCATAAATGACTAAATAAGTCCACATGCTGTTGATACTTTATGTAAAATACTGGTCCAATACTGACATTTATTGGTATCACTGTGTTAATAGTGGTACAAATACACTGTGCCTAAGCTCAAAGTGCTTTAAATCAGTTGGCATCTTCTAGGTTAGATTATTGTATTTTTCCAAGTACAGAAATAATGATTCATCCAGATTGCTTTAACTGATATTCATAATGACAGCATTATTTCTTTGGTTAAATGGAACTTGTAAAACAATGTCTTATTCTGAACAAGAATATTCTTAAGATTTCTTAGGGTTTTTTTTTTCCCATAAGTGAGATCAATGTAATTAATCAGATAATTCCCTCATTAAATAAGGCATCACTTAATGGCTTTAGACATTGATTGTGAAGCATATTATCTCATTATATCTCTTTTGGTCGTTCACAGAAATTTTGTGCAAGCCGGTGGTATTTTTTCTGCGTGGCCAGCCTATTCCAAAGCGAATGCTTCCTCCCGAAGATCTGGTCCTTTACTACACAGATGCCAAGAATCGTGGCTATCTGGCAGATCCATCCAAGGTAGAAAAAGCCAGGCTTGAACTTGCCAAGAAATATGGTTATACTTTACCAGACATAACTAAGGATGAACTCTTCCAAATGTTAAGCACACGCAAGGATCCTAGACAGATCTTTTTTGGCCTTGCTCCAGGATGGGTTGTAAGCTTGAGTGACAAGAAAATTCTGAAGCCAACTGATGAGAGACTGCTAGAATACTACAGTTCGTGAATTCAGGATTGGAGACAGCTGCAGGTGTTCAGGAAACATCTGGGTGTGAAATAATGGCTACAAAATGTGTGGGTTTTTTTTTTTTTTTGAGACTTCTGTTGTACTCGACAAAACAAATCTTTGTTTATGTAATCTACCGATATAGCTGTCAATATCTTTTATTGGCATAACATAACGTAATAAAGTCTTTACTTTGGAGGCACTATAGAGTCTGACATGAATAAAATGTGTATTTGAGCCCTTTTTCTTGTGAGATTTGCCTGTTATTTTCTCAAAGTATTTTAATGGCACATATATTTTAGAAGAGCATTCCACAGAGTAGCTTGACCTCATACTTTGTTTATTTTTTCTGCAATTTAAAATCTGAAACATGACTGGACAAGACTGATATTATTGTTACAATTATGTTACATAGAATCATAATTAATTCCTCTGAGAAGATCCATTTATTAACAGAAAAAAAAACCATAGTTCAGAAGAGCTCATTAATTGTTTTATATTCTGCCACTGCCATCAATAGCATTAAAACCTGAAAGATCTTGAATTTTGCGTCCTGTAGTGGCTTCTTCAGATCTTACATTTGAGAAAGACATTGCTATGGATCGGTACTTTTAAGACTGATCTGGATCCTTAGGACTGAGCATTTGGGACCTATGCATTTGGGAGCATTTGGGACCTACAACCAAGTCATAGATTGAAAAGTTAATCTATCAATACTTGATCTGACTCCTCACAAATTAATGAGGTGCTTCATAATTACTTGAACTGCAATGGAAGCTGAATTTGCCTTTAAAAGAGGGATAATCTGATTATCATAATTCAGGAGGTGTGGGAGGTAAGAACACAAGAATTAACCTTGCTTTCCAATTTTTAAATGGAAGTGCTACTTTGGGCTTTCTATAGGTGCCAAGTTATCCCAGTGCCCCATTTCTCTAGTTTAAGAACGGTACTAACTTGTGTGCTTCAAGGAAAGGTGTTCTATTTTTTTCTAATTTATTCTATTCTTTATTTTATTTGGAGAGTAACAAATTAGTGGATAAATTTTTTGTTCCACTTTGTCAACAGAGAGTTTTGGTTTTACTCAACAAATGATGTTGTCAATTAATATGAGCACCTGTCATCACAGATGGAATAAAACACAGCTCTTTCATTCCCACCCTGTCAACCAATCTGTAATCCAGAGATAAACAGTGACATGTCCCTAATTTTTGACAATTCTTCAGTTTCTCTTGAGAGAATGTGTTTTGTGCCTGTTAATGTATTTTGTGCTGTCAGTAATGGACATTCTCCTGACCTGTCATGTAAGTGTAGGTGCAACACAGCAAAACAACAGCAGTGTAAAACTGGATTGTGAATAGCGGGAATTTGGTCTCAGTGGTCTTAAATTGAGTATTTTTATAAGGTGCACAACACTTCTCTTTTGGCACATCAAGAATAATAGTCTGTGCCAAAAAAATATAACTGGTGTTAACTTGAATGTAGAGTAAATAACTTTCTCACTTTAGATGTATCCTGTTCTGCATCCTGATGATTGTTGGTGTGGAAACTTAAATGACAAGCAATCCTTTTTTTTTTTTTTTTTTTGTTATTACAATACTACTGCCTCCATTGGGGAAGGAGTTGCGGCGGGGGGAGAAAGAGTATTTATTGCCTTCCCTTATTTGTGCCATAATGTTTCTCTTTTTATGAATCAATTCACAATTGTATTTTGTGGAGGTTGTGGTACTCAACAGGAAAGCTTCTTAACTGGAAGCAAAGAAGGAAGTTAGTCATATTAGTGAAGACCAGAAGACAAAAGTGTTTATGTATCATTGTGTATTTTTGGGGGGGAAAGGGGTAATGCAACTTTGTTTCCATTCCTTCTCTTTGTATTAAAATGAAGAAATTACTTTCAGCATTTTCTTTTTTCCAAATCCACATCTTTGATAAGCACGCGCGTGCACACGCATGCTGCTTATTCCAGGTTTCTAAACGGCTCTCAGGTGAAAGGGTAACTTGGATAAAATGATAACACTGAAAGAAAGAATGAAAACAGGAAACAGATGTCTGGTGACGTCGAGTGGTTGGATAGCACTTATTCTGTGAACGATGTCTTAGTCACAAGGCAGCTGTATCCTGGTTCTGATACTATAATGCTACAAATACCTTGGAGCCAAAACAGCCACGTTCCTCAAAATCCGGTCATTCTACTGCATAAAGGTGATCTTTTATCATCTTATAATTGAAGAGGGCGAAGGGGGCCCTGTGTTGCTTTATTTAAAATATGCAATGCTTGTCTTTCTGTTTACAGTAGCTAGCATTTTATAACAGTAGTTCACATTATATTTACTAGTCAAAAAGTGACAAGGCTATAGAGGATTTCCTGTTCGTTTTATCTTACGAAAAGCATAAGCCTCCTGGCAACGGAGAACAGAATTACCAAAAGCACAAGTGAGTTATTGACAAGATTTCTAATAAATCCATAAATGTCATTCCACTCAGAGGCTCTTTATTATAGAATGCTCTGTCGCTTTGATGCAAGGCTAAGTCAGCATTGGCATCTAAGGCTAATCTCTTTACTTAGGCACATGGCACACGTACCATGTTTTTGTGTTCATAAGATAAATGATTGCTTTGGATATCCTGTTTTGATAGTTTTTTTTTCCTTTTGTATGCAACAGTATTTCTCAGCAAGATAATTGAATCTGCTGTAACAGACAAAGCATTAACAACTAACTAAGGAAAAAGAATTATTTGTACCATAAAATTGTACCATAAAATATTGAAAATCATGTTAATATTTATCAGTAGCTGCATATTCTTGAATGCTCCTTGAAGCCAATCGCATATGCAAAGCTGCAATCAAAACGAAGGCTTCTGAACAAGTACACACCTTCATAATTAGAAATTGCCTGTTTCTATTGAGGTGGACTCTACCAGCCAACATTAGCCAGTCGGTATTGTACTTACAGACGGGTGACTGCAGGCTTGAGGCTGATTAACATAAATACATTTTCTGATCTTATCTTTGCATACAAAATATTGGGCACTTCAGAGGGACAGTTGGCAAAGGGATTCATTATACTTCATAGTATCATACTCATGTGCAACACCCAAAAGTGGAACATACCATTCACTGATTCCAGAAAGAAGTAAAAAAGATGCAGAAATTCGCAGCCCTGGTCCCAATCCTTGCCGGCAGCATGCCAACATTGTTTTGACATGCGAGCGTAATTGATGTTAGTGCTCCAGGAAGTCGTATAAAAGTGGTCAATTATGAAGATAGCTTCCCATTGGTATTTTATTATTTTTCTGTTGTATTGATAAAACATTACTGCGAAACTAACTTTGCAGTGTTGACCAAGTGCTATAAAGTTTGTCTCAATATATTAATAGAGTTGCACAGGTTTTTATTTTAAATATGCAATTGTCTTACACATCTGAAATACCAAAGATGCTGTGTCAATCCCAAATGGCCAGCTTTAATTCTAGATGCAGCTTTATCTCTTAAAATTTCCTGATCCTCAAGGATCAGATAGGAATAGCTCTTTGCAAGTACCAGTCTTCCATCACTTTATTGTGTTGTGATTTAGTATATGAAAATACGCAGTTAAAGCCCTAGTCTGGTAGTACTGCTACTGCTGAGGAAGCTCATGAACTTTCTGCTCCATTATCTCCTAGCCCAAATGGCTATCTTGGTCTTGGTGTAGTAAAATGTATGTCTTTACCTAAAGAACTGTCTGCTTTCTCAGGTAAAGCAAACTATCCTCGGATCTGTTCCATCTATTTCCTTTGGTAGTGCTCTTTCTGTAGCATCTGCATCTTCCGAGAGCTCTCCTCACTTATCCAGTTGCAATTGTGGGAACCACAAGGCTCAATCATTCTCACAGTGTCATCCTGTCTGGCCCTCTCTGAGTTTGAAAATCTGCTTGTTTTATGTGCCTCTGGAGCAGGAAAAGTGTTGATCATTCCTGCATCTGTTTATACGATGGGGTTTTTCATGACTTGAGTTTCCTGCACTGGTGTTGCTTTTGTTGTTAAAAATGTCAACAGCGATGTTGTTTGGTTGTTAACCTTGTAGACTCCAAGGTGCGTGCTGGCAGCAGTCTGGAGAGCCTTTGAGCAAAGGATTGAGTTTGTTTAGAGTTGAGAAAAACTCTGACAGTGCTACCAGTGAACCTATCTCAGAACTGCACGCACTAGATACCGATCTCCATGGATAGGTGCTTTGCCTTTAAATGCACAAATCGGTCTCTCCTTGTGCATTTGGAAACCTGCCCTCCTTACGCCTCATTCTAGTCTGCTCATAGCATTTATTATGCTATCTGGTAGAGTTGCCTTTGGAAAATAAGCTGATGCATGAATTTACAATAAATTCAGTGGAGCCTGAAGAATGATTGGGTTAATCCTGTAGTAGATATCGAATCAATAAATTGCTGTCTAATCTCTGCTGTCTTTAAATATAGTTTTAATATATGGTATACTTGCATACACCTATACGTAAGTATCAGGAGCTGAATCCTGCCTTTTGCCTTCAGTGATATTGCCTGCTTGAAGCCAATAGTTGGAATGAATATCTCCTTCAGGATTCATGAAGCACTTAAGGTATGCTGTAAACCATCATGGGGGACTGTTGAATCTTGGTGTCCCAGACTGTGTTTGTCTTTGCAAATAAGCATGCTGACCTAGGGAAACCAAGCCAGAGCACATTCCACTGCTACAGGAGACAAAGAGTCCAGAGAGTCCAGCGCAGGGCCACAAGGATGATCAGGGGCCTGGAACATCTGCCCTATGAGGAGAGGCTGAGGGAGCTGGGCCTGTTCAGCCTGGAGAAGAGAAGGCTGAGAGGGGACCTGAGCAGTGTCTATAAGTACCTCAAGGGAGGCAGTGAGGAGGATGGGGCCGGTCCCTTTTCAGTGGTGGCTGGTGGAGGCCAAGTACCTCACAGAGCTAGAGGTAATAGCCACAAACTGAAACACCAGAAGTTCCACAGAAACTTAAGGAAAAATTTATTAACAGTGAGGGTGACAGAGCACTGGAACAGGCTGCCCAGAGAGGTTGTGGAGACTCCTTCTCTGGAGATCTTCA